GAAAGATTGAATAGTTTGAGACTCTTCGATCAGCCCCAATGCAATAGTGTAACTCGAGTCTGCTGGATGATATCCGAGAAGAATCTTAGAAATCACTTTTCTGTCTTCATGTTCTTCGCATTCTCAGAAACACTACTGCAAGAAGCGCGTTATATATACACTATATAATATATGCTGTGTCATATATATATATATATATATATATGTATGTATGTATATATATTTCAATTACCGATATTGCGATATTGACTGGCGCGTTTATCCGTAGATACTCTCCATCGCATTCTCTCTGGATTTACGTTGAATATTTTCCGCGCGTAATTAATTCGACCTAGTTTAATATCACATCGCTCACTTACCTGGAGATTGGGTGGGCAATGGTCGAGAAGCTCCAGCATATGCCTGATGTTCTGTGCGTCCTGTATCACGAAATTCAACTCCATGTCGAATTCACCGCCTACGAGCTGAAAAAAAATAACTCGTTGAAAACGTTGATGTACAATCATGTAATCCGTAGTACTTTATTCATAACAATGCTAACAAACAAAGTTCATTCTAACAGCATGTACATTATTGGCTTTTCTGTGTCCAAATTTATGAGATAGTCATAAATAGTAACTCTGGGCGCAAAATAGATCGGAAGTTCCAGAGGGAGATATATGTATGTACCGTCAGTATTTAATTGCGGAAATGTTGTTAACGGGTCTCATCGTTCGATACCCGGATGTACGTCAAACGAATGATTACGTAACACTATTCCATTACATCCGGATATAGTTCACGCGCAACAATAATATCATTTTGACAAGCAATCGTTGATTACTTTATATCAGTATTATTAATATTAATTGGTAGATGTACATACTTTCCGAATTCGAATACAGTATTGCTTTTTGTACCTATTGAATTTCTTGGTTCATTAAATATGTTTCATGTCCAACGTTGAAAAACAATATCCGATTTACGCGATACGCATAAAATGAATTAATATCGGCATTTTATAATATATGAGCGAGTGAAATTTGCATTGGCTTATACATATATTACATCTTTTTAAGAGCATTACAGTATCGCTCGTTATTGTGCATAAAAAATTAATAAAGCCACTCCCAATTCACGTTTTCACTCGTCCAAAAATGTATGTAATATATGTATTTATTATGCATGATCTGCATTGGACGATTCGAGGCATTTGGCGAAAACTATACGTATATTTAAACTGGCCGTATTAATAACGATGTAGTTTTAGGGATATTTCAAACGCTACAGACAAAACATTTTGGACACGAAAAGTTTACGGACTATGTCCGTTTGTGGTTCTTCTTTTTACTGAGACGACTTATATATAGCCGAACCGGAAGTGCCGCCTCTGCGGAGAGAGTGTAATTTCCGGAGAAGTATCTCGCGCTCATCCTCTGCGTTTCTCCTCTCTCTATCTCCTTTCCTTGCTTCGTTTTCTTCCAAACCGATATTGATCATGAATTTCTTACGGCCATATCTGTATCTACAGGCGAGGTCATGACCAATTTTTATGAGCGTCGATAGCTCGTAAAAATTCATGACTTACGCAGCACCGTTTATAAAATAGATTGTGCCGACAATTGAAAGTGGACCTTATCCTGGTTCAACAGTTCCGATCAAATGGCACATCAGATCTTAACTTTACTCTCCGTTTCCGAGGAGTTGTATTGTAAGCTGGGAGATTGGCCAGAAAAGCAAAGAGTGCGAAATGCATTGGGTTTCGTTCTAAATTCCAAAAGAATATTTCTGAAACTATTCTTCTGCGAAACACATAAGAGCGAAGGTAAACTTTCCGCAAGAAGGAATGTTACTCTTTTAAAAAACTTCACAACTAATACCACATTTGGCGTCGGTAAAATGTAAAACCAATGTTGGGAAAATAGAATTGTTATTGAGGCGCCGTATCCAATAATGCTATGCTCGGACTTTCTTGCTTTCGCACTTTTACAGTTTACCAAAGCATTTGGTAAGCTCATGTTGCATGTAATAGAGAGATAACAAAATTTGTCACTCGATCTAGCTCTCAAAATTAAAAGCGGTAGTAATTTCAATAAACATTGCGTTTTACTTGACTCTACATAAATCATTTCTGTGAACAGATAATCTGACGACGACTGATATGACGATAAAATCAGGTAACATAATATTTGTGATCAATAGAATGTTAGCGTTACCGAACGATCTGTACAAAATTAAATTAAAATTTTATCATAAAATAAATTTATGAGTCGGATTGAAATATATTTTATATCGAATTATCCTTGATGTTATTGATAAAGAAATCATTCGCTTTTCGGCATATCTCTTGTGATATTAATAACATTTTATAATTAATATTAATAGAATTTTGATATTAATAATATTAATATTAATAGAATTTTGCTACAGTTCTGTACATCTCCGATGTTTACACAAATAATTATATGAGATTAGGTTGCCATAAAGGGAGAAGCAGAATTTTCAAAGTATTACCGCTTGGCGTGCTCCCAACTATTTACACGCAATTACAGACTTGCATATGCGATGCACTGAGGACATGGAGAATGTCCGGAATTTAATTTAATTCTTTTTTATGTTACATGTGCTGCTGGTTCTCCAGTTATCAAAAATTAAAACCGTTTAAAATGGTGTATTATTTAATCATATATTTTTACTAATTTAAATATCTCGCAATTATCACCAATTTATATAACGATACTTTCTATGAAAAATGAAATTTTTGTCATTAGAAAAATTAATCAGAAATTTTATATGCGATTAATTCGAAAATACTGCACGATCATCAGTACATGAAAAGACTGAGATAGAGATAGATAGATAGATAAGTACATAGATAGATAGATAGATAGATAGATAGCTAGATAGATAGATAGATAGATAGATAGATAGATAGATAGGTGGGTAGATAGATAAATATAATAGAGCGTCTATTACGATTTGAGGATGGACTCTCTAAGAACTTATGCAAAAATATATTGCGACAACGAAGAAAAAATAAAATAACAAAATTTAAATAGGTAAAACTAAGAGAGAGAGGGAGGGCATGATGTACAAATTAAAGTTTATATTGTTACGTATCGGTCGTTTGCGAAAATCATTGATCCCTTGAAGAAAATAAATCTTTTCGTAAAAGAGAAAGGAGGAAGAAAAATAAAGCATGTTATTGCCGATAAAGAAAGTTCAATTCTTTCAAAGCAATTTTTCGAATGACCCATATCACTTGCGCGAATCTTAACAGCCAACGCCGTGCCGAGAATCGAAAGAATAATCGAGCGACTAAAAGATATCTCAATCCGTAGTTCGATCATCGTCGTACCATCGCATTGGATCGCTTTTTCAGAAAAAGTAATTTTTTACAAAAATAAATAATTTTATTTATATTCCTTTGTGATTTGACTCTGGAACTTAGAAATTAAACGATACAAATGTATTCATATGTAAAGTAGTCCTATACTGCTATACCTGCTTTTTTATTATTTCAAGTCTTTGCATGTGAATCACTCGTATTCTTCTTCGAGTTTAGTTATTCCTTTTTGGCTCTACATTCCTATTTTACGATGCACAAACGAGATACGTAATGCTTTCGTGTGCTAAATCCAAATAACGTACGTTATAGATACGTACAACCAAAAGATGGGCAAACGAAAAGTGAGTCTCAACCGGTGAATTAAGGTCGGCTAGTAGAGTTAACCGCTAATTAGATATCACTAGCTTTTACACCTACATATTCCTTTGACAAAAACAGTTACGCAAAGCACAGCGCACGTCTAACTTGCATATTCGACACTGAGATCCATTAAAGAGAGTTCCGAACTTACAAAGCTGGATATTTAAAATCATTTTAAATTGGCAATAATATTAATTAATAAGCTTTTTTCAGTACTTTGGAATAAAAAGATTTCTAAGTCTTTCTACAAGCAGAATATTATACGCATTATTCGCATTATTATCCAATTATTTTACATACTAAAATATATGATGACAATATAATCAGTGAAAATTAGTACATGCAGTTATTTCCAATTAATTTAGTATTCTGCTATCGAAATTTAATAATATAACTTGAAACTCTCCTTATAGATCCTTAAACGAACTTTATTATAGTGCGCTTTGCTTTATGATGTTATAATTATCGATGCAGAATGTGCAAATAGATTTTATTGGAAAATCGATTTGCTATTGAAAGTCAGTCCTTATTTGCGGTGTGCAAAGCACGATGCGAATGCATTCGTGCTGTTTGTGTGAAAAGTCTTTATCGAGTTACTGCAGAGATTAATCCTGTTTGTGAAATTTTAGATATCCTCCATTTCCTCTGAAAATGCATTTTCCTTGATTTTATATTTGTACATTTTTTATCTTAATTCATTCTTAAATGTGAGAGTGAAAGATCTTGATGCGAAAAGATAATACATTCTTTAATTTGTTTTAAAATTAGTTACATTATTCTCACTAATTTATTTTATATTTTAATATAATTAAAAAAATGTAATGTAAGTACAATGGTAAGTTTATATATGTATGTACACGAAAAGAATAGTTTTGTTGAAGTACAAATTTAATTATATATACAGATTTAAAAGTAATTATGTGTTTGAACCATTAAAATAATTACATAGCTTAAACTAATTGTTTAGAATGTTAAAACTTTTTGCAACATAACAAATGCTTAAGCGCGTTCTACGTATTTTAGTTCCAATAACAAAATTATTTTCTGTACCTAACTAAATTTTTTAATATTTACTTTAGTAAAATTCTTTTCATACATATAATATAATAAATTATATGAAAACATTGCACATGAATTTTATGACCAATATATTGAACGTTTATAAAAAGAGTGAGCGTTTTTAGGAAAGTATATATATGGCGCTCGTGCAACGTGAGGTTTACATACATATATCATCTTGCGAAAGCTCCGAGGATCACGACCGTTATATCATTTCTGTCAGAGTAGGCAAGCACGTCTAGCGGATCGACGAGCACGCATCTACTTTGGGATGTCATTAATCTGCATCGAGATCTGCATTTCAATCACTAGATGATACGGTCCACTGTTCTATGTGCTCCGGTGAGACTTCCACGAGATCTCCATCGGCTGTATTTACATATCGGTACAAGGGGTTATAGTTGCACGTTCTGAAATGTCAACTCTGTGACAAGTCACCTCTGGGGAACGTAACTCTGACAATATGAGTGCTACATTTGAATTTGTAATACCATATGCGATGACACGCGTATGAGTTACATGTTGCGCATACATGTCGAAGTAATCTCAGCCACGTTAACTGCAATGCAATTGCGTAAAACATGTGTTTTATTGTTTGTTTAATCTCGTTGAATGTAGCTCCCGGAAAATATTTCCGAAATATTTCCTCTCTTTTGCATAGATTCAGGTCGTATGAAATAAAGATAATTGCTTTCTTTCACTCACATCTGATTTCTT